GGAAAACAGTGAAGAAAAGATAGCAAAATTCTACACTTGTAGATATTTACTACCGAGCTTCTAAAATGCTTGAGCTTTGTAGTTTTGAATGAGATGCTTCATTTAACAGATTATCCTGCTCTGATAGATGTTTAAAATTGATGCTATTTTTAGAACCCTGTCAAAGTCAAACCTCTCATGAAGGTGATTAATTCTTTACCTCTGATTTTCGTTTCATTTGTTTTGATCAGGGATACTCTGTTGATGAGTTTGGTACCCAAATCTAATGAAATCTCATCATGTTTCTACAACATTTAGCATGTAACTATCTGCTCTTATCACTAGATGTGATACCTTTATGGAAGAAGTAATGACTTGGATTTGACCAGTCATCTTCCAAAATTACCATCTTATGCTGTCTGTTGTTTCTCAAGAAAGGATTTTAAAAGATTCTTCTTGAGTGGGCTCAACCAAGAAATGTCTTCAGAGAAAAGTTAGTATAAATGGTAGAGTAATAGGTGATTTCCTTCTTACTCCCATCCTAACATTTGATATCTATTTTGAAACTTAAAGCCAGGAAGCACAGTTTGCATTCTCTGAGTGAGCTCAGTTGTGTACCCTGGTTTACAAAGGGGACTAGAATATCCATTCAAGACCTTTATGGAAAAATAGTCCAATTCTATTGTTGCTTTTTACAGCTTCCTTGTAGCTGTTTATCCAGTTGTTCTGATGTGGTTTTGCCATTAAGCATGCTAATGCCATTAATGGAAATGGATGAGAGAAACTTCATTTGTTCCAGAGAGTTTTCCAGGAGAGGGCAGCCATAGTTAATTCTGGGTCAGTTCATGTGATACAATGTGAATATAGATTACTGGCACCGTTTGGCTGCTACACTCTATTGCCCAGCGTGGTTTGTGTGCTTAGTTCTTTTAATTCGTTCCTTTATTTGGATAGCAAGTGTGTAAAAGATAGACTTTTTCACAAATGAACACTGCAAAAGACAACCCACATAACTCCCAGTGCTGTGTACTTGCTGAAATCACAAATGCTTTTGGGAGCAGCTTCCATTATATGCCACTGTTTGCTTTATATACTTTCCAACCATATCATAAGTTTCTCTTCACTCAGTTACTTCAAAGGTGTTTGTAAGCTAAACTATTGCTAGAGACCTGAATATTTCAGGAAAAAAAATTCCCTGGCACTGAAAACTTTTATTTCTTTAGTTTAGAAAAAATGATCCTCTCTCCTCTTTATGTGATGAGGATGCATAGAAAACCTATCTTGTTTTGAATGTAAGGATGGTAAGTTAGCACTAAGGGGCATGTCCCATATGCACAGTTTGAAGGCTCTACTTGTCCAAACAGCAGTGATGATATAGATGGCACCAGGAGACATTTATTTAATTTTTTAATCATTTAATTGTGCCCTCTCAGAACTGTTGCTTTGGCACAACTGCTTCTGGGACTGGGAGGGCAACCAGGATGCCTTGACATACACCCTCAGTCTTTACATGAAGACTACAATGAAAGTTTCCTTTTCATGTGAAATGGATAAGTTCCTTTCTTGGATCAATTCAAACCAGCAAAAGCTATTTTTCTGTTTTCCTCCTTTTTTCTTTTTTAATTTAAAAAAAACCCCAACTCTATTTTTCTGGACAGCTAAGTTAAAACTCCATGAAATACCATTTTCCAGACCCGTAGGTAATGGATTTTTATAAAGTTAAAAATCTGGTCGCAGCAGGTACAGAAGTGATAGGATTTGGGAGGATTTTTTGTTCCTGTTTTGTAGGAGTAAACAAGATGCCATTCTTCACACTTCACATGTAAATTCACAAAATGATACGTGACTTCAGAGGTACAAGAAGCCATTAAGTCTTTCCATACACTGAATTTTGAAGACCTTTATCTTCAGTTTTTTCAACTTTGTCAACTTCCAGTGCTTTACAACCTCCCTTTATTTCTTAGGCATCCCACTAATATGTACCAAACATGCAGTCATAATCTCAAAATACATAAACCATGGAAAGATTGTGCCAGAGAGACCCTGACAGAGGATCTGCCAGGACTGCTTTGCCTTCCATGGAGGGTGAGGAGTTAATAATTTCTCATCTCTGCTTCTCTGTCTGTGGGTCTCTAGAAGGTGGAGCAGCCACGGTGCTGTGTCTGTAGATGAGCTGATAGCTCTGGCTGGGCTGCTCGCGGAGCCTTGTGAAAATAATTCTTAGAAAAGAGACTTAATCAGCGGCCACACTACGCTGATTTGCACGTAATTGTGTCTGTCTTTTAAAAGCCAAAGATAAAAGGACAGAATTTGACACCTGCTCATTGCTCATTTTCCCGGCAGCTCCGCAGGCTGGAGCGAGGAAAGGTTTTGCCACCCGGACCGTCAATTAAAAGGAGAGGGGTTTGCAGGAATGCTTTGCAGCACTTGACAGATGAAGCCCAAGGCATGGCTCGCAGCCTTGGGTACGGGAAGGATTTAAATTTTTACTGTCTAACTGAACTCAGTGTTTCTCTTCTTCTCTCCCCCGCAATGTTATATTTGCAGTTTTATTAAACACGAAGTTTTCATCCTCTGTGCACTTCTCTGTGCTGATAGCCGAGGTCTTCATTCCTTCAAAATGCAGTGATGGGAAAGAAACAGTTTCTACACTCTTACTTTAACTCTTTTCTCAAAGACTTCTCCTTTAAATAGCATTATTTTTATTTCAATTTACTTTTCTTTATGGTTGAGTTTCCTTTATCCTCTCTACCCCTTCCTGCATGTCCTATAAATCCTCAGGTTTTACCTTTAGTTTAAACTTAGTCTCATAAGGAGCTGGTACCTCAATGAGCCAGCATGGGGATTTTGAAAGCTTACAATTAAGATGTTTTTCTCTATCTTCTGGAAGTCACCTTTGCCTCTCAATTCTCTTTGGTAACTTATGCATTTATTTCTGCTCAGTGAAAACTCCTATCTGCTCTTCTCAGATCAGGTTAACTCCTTCCTGAAATGTCTTGGTGTCCCCATGTAAAGAACTGGTACAGTGCTCACTTTACCTCACCAAGATAGCCTTGAGGTTTGAGATATATAGATAAAGATATTTTTTAATTTATTGAAGATTTTCTTTTTATTGTTTCTGATTCTCTAGCAGTGCTGTCTTCACATTGCAGAAAACTAGGTCTGCATAGTTCCAGGTGTCATACAAATTGTTCTGCCAAGCTCTTAGGAACATGAGTATTGTGGTCCCTAAGAGCTTATAGTCCAGTTATATGTGTGTTATATGCTATAGAAATATATATGCCATCTAGGGGGGAAAAAAAAGTTATCAGGGAGGAAGGAATAGGTAAAATACAACAGAGTAATAAGAGAGAAGTAGTTTTACACACAAGTTGTAGACCCCAGATATCAGTGACCACAACCAGTAGGTTTCTGTGGGTATTACTGTGTGACCTCAGCAAGAGGTTTCAGCTTCCATGGGAAAAGATGGGTCAGTATGTGGGAATTTAGCCCGGTCTGAGCTCTATTGCTGTAGCTGGAAGGCAGACAGGCTGGGAATGAGGTCTGTGCAAGGTGCCATGTGGACATCCGCCAGGTCACAGACCTACAGGGTGATCTTTGATACAAGGTCTTCAGGAAAATAAGAAGGGAATTAGTGTCAAAACCAGAGATGAGGAGATTTTAATTCTTAAGGCTTGTGATCCAGTTAGGTCTCAGACAAGGGTTTGGCAATGTAGGCAGAGTGAAAAGGTCAGATTTGGAGAAGTTTGTAGAAAGTGGCATCAGGTTTAATCAGAGTCTGAAGGTATGAGTCATGAGAGGAGATCAAGTCAAAGTGAAAGCTGAGATTGGCAGGAAAGAGTCTGGTTTTATTTCTGAAATTAAGACAGGTATGGAGAGGAAAGGACTTCATGAAAAATTCAGGAGCTAGGTTTTGAGCATGTTCAGTTTTAGAAGTAGTAAATTATTAACAGAAATATCTCAGAGAAAGGCCAAAATTTGTTTGGTTTGATGACACTAGGCTTAGAGATTTCTTGTTTTCTGATTGTTATTTGAGTATTCATATCCAATCTAACAAGGAAAAGTATGGATTTATGTCACAGAGGATGACTGAAAACTTCCATCTGCATATATCTATTACTGTAGTTCTTTTGTGGATTCAGACTGGATTTTGAGACAGGTCATGATATAGAAGCAGAATGCAATCAGAATAAAGAAGTCACAGCATCACAGTAGCTTGATAGTTTCCAGCTCGCATTTGCCTGGATTGTTGTCTCATATCTTAATGCAAAAGTGGGCACATCATATGTAGGGAAAAGGGAAAAAATTTAACTCAATCCGTTGGTAAGTAACACAACTTAGAGTTATTAGACTGAAATATGCTGTGACTGAAATTCAAAGAGACTGCATGAAGAATGTCTCCATTTTAATGTGCACCTCTGCTTTTCAGCAGCTCTGGTGTGTGGACATTGGGCACGTGTAGTCTGGTAACCACACGTCACACCGTGCCTGGACAGAAAGTGCCACCCGTGATCGCAGCATTTGTACCTGGGCTTGTTTAATATCTCTCATTTAGCTCAACTCGTTGCCTTGCAGTCCTGGCTGGGTTAAAGGAGGCCTGTGAGGCTCAGTGTCCCACTGCTCGTATTTACACAGCCACTGAAATGTGGTAAATCATCTACTCAGCCTGTTAATAGAGGGTGATGTATTATCTTGTGCCCAGGCTTTGACTGATCTACAAGGACATGAAAATTCTTACAACCTGGACGTCTTATGCAATGTTACATGGTTCTTTTTTAAGACAAGCATGGAAAATGAGGCAAAGACACATCATTTTTATTTAAATAATCAGTATAAGAGGTTTTCTGCTCTCTTAAAGCATCCTACACTGGTGTCTCTATATATTTGGGCATGGAGATACCTACTGGCTGTCCCATCTCTCTTCTCATTTGCATTTGAGTTCCTTCAGGCCTCAAATAAGACAATTATGCTACACATAGTGTTAGTTTAACTAGCAATTTTTAAAAAAGAAGACAGTTTACCTGTTAGGTATGATCTTGTGCCTCTGTACGAGTCCAGACCATCACTGTGTGCCTGTGGAATAGATAATGCAGAAAATACTGTTTCCACTTGAAATGGTAGAAAATCCAGAAAAACAAATTCTGCTTCCATATTGCCATATTCTGTGAGAGTTTTGGTAAGTAAATTGTGTGGCTGAAGCCACGTATTTGACTCTGCATGCACAAAATTGAGTACAGGAGCCCAGTTTTGTGTCTCTGCTGTTAAGTAGGTACTACTTCTCTGGTGACCAATTGCCATCTCACTGCCATCTCCGTAGGGAGTGTGCCAAAATCACCACCCTTATCACTGATTTCTAGAGCAGGTAACACTCCCTGGAGGTCTGCAACCTATCTAGTACCTAGACTAAACCTGCTTTGAAGTTGAGACACATTTCTAAACTAGCACAGAAGTGCTATAGTCTCCTTTTCTACCATTAACTTTTGCAGCGTCAAGTCAGAAACTCTTGACATAGTTGCTATGAGGCTTTTCAAAATATCCTCTGCAGAAGGAGAGGTTTGTCTCACATCCATCACTGCAGAATGGCAGAAAAAAAGGAGGAAATGTCAAGTCTCATTATGCAACCAGTGAGGAACAACGTGATTTGCTTTCAGTAAACTGTAGGTTAAGTCATGTTATGGTGATTTTTGTGTTTGTCTTGTGCAGAGCCAGAAGTTGGGCTCAGTGATCCTTGTGGGTCTCTTCCAACTCAGGATATTCTATAATTCTGTTCATTTTTGCAGTGGTTTTGCACAAAGCTGCCAGTATACAAAAACCAGTGTTATATGATATATCCTAATATGTGTTGGTTTCGTTTAAATGTAATAAAGGGCTTTTTTTCCCCCTTTTTCTTTTCCCCACAGGGCATGGTAAGAATGCTCTGAAAGTAGTCCTGACAGAGACAAACTATAGAAATAAAGTTTTCAGTAACCTAAAATAACATGCAAATCCCAGGATTGTGCAATTTCAAACACAGGCGTGCACCGTATGCCAGCCTGACCTCCTGGCTGTGTAGCAGACAATAAAAAGAAGCCTTTGTCAAACCTGCTTGTGATGAACAGATAAAAAAAGGTTGGCCCACATTCAGAAATGAGACTATTTCAGCAAGCTGGTGCCGTGTCATGGAATATTTTAAAATAAGTCAAAAGGAGTTTAGAAATTTTCAGGAGTTTACTGAAAAAACAGAACTTTGGGCATCTTAAAATTTTAGGGATCTGCCTTTGAGCATTTAGATTAGGACTAGAACACAAGCAGTATAAACTCTAAAGTGATTTTCAGTTGATAGCAAATTGGGCAAATCACCAAATCACAGGTTATCTTGGCTGCCAGAGGAGAAGTGAGACAAGCAGGTGCCATTCATGTGCCAACAATTTCGCAGGGAAGGAGAAATGTCTGTCATAAAAGGCATGTGCAAAGTAAAATAACTCCCACCAAAGCCAGGGAGGTTACACTGAACTGACTCATTTCTTAAATAAATCTGTGGTTCCTGTGCATTCAGGTTTTAAGATCCCAAGTGGAAGTTGGAGGAATCCAAACCCCAGAGCACTAGTAATGTTTGTGCTTCCCTCCCTCAACCAGCGTGACCCTGGTGTTTCAAGTTAATTGAAGAAGGTTGTACCACATCTTGGTGTTTAGGGCCGAGATCAAGGAGCACTAGAACTGAATGCTGGTCACGTGTCTTGGAGATTAAAATTGGACATAAACATTGTATTGATTTGGAGGAGGAACGCTCACTCAGGGCAAATGTCAAGGTTGAAGAATCCTTTTGCAAGCGAGTCCTACGGGATGCTGCAGCATCCTCAGTCCATTGTCATCACAGAGTTAAAGACAGACACAAACTGGAAGCAATTTGGCAGGAAGGATAATGGGACCAGTTGGGATCTGTCATCAGCATACTGGCCGCTGCAAGAGAGCGATTAAATAGGAAGACACAGACAATTATCAAAGACTAATTGCTTATTGTTGCTAGAACTATATTTTAAATGTGTTTTTCTTTTTAATTGCTTTTGGAGCGAATAAAGTGTCCTTAATTCAATTCTAAAATGTTTGGGAATGGGAAGTCTGCCAGGAACTGGGCAGCTCAGAGGTCTTGTGAAAGCAGTTGCCTCTTTTCACCAGCCTATGTTCATGTTCAGTCATCCCATCCTCTGCCAACTTTCCTGTTTTCAGGTTCATGCCCCTATGTTGGCTGAAGGTCTCTGAGTTGTTGGTACTTGCAGGAAGCTGCAATAGTTTGTTCATATCTTTTCCTGTATTTTTTATTCATCACTGTCCAAGAGTCTTGACCAGAATAGGAGCTGAACTCTTCAGGTCCATAGGGGTTTGGGATCAGCAGGCTCTGAGTATTATGGTAATTTTAGGACAGGACTAGCAGTGGTTGACAAGGTGAGATATCCATGTAATTTAAAGGTGTTACAACACAAACATCTGTACACCTCTGTGCTCTGTTACTACTGACTGCAGGGAAATTAAGCAGGGGGTGAATGTGGCTCAGTATTGTGTCAGTATAAGAATAAATGAGCATGAGAATGTTATGCTCAGGTTTGGTGTGAGGAGCAGGTCCAAATCACATACAGAAGGTTTTATGCTAGTAGCTGTGAGGGTCTTGTGTTATTAAATAACCATTCAGTGCTTTCATGATGAGAATGACAGGGAACACTGTTTTTATATTCATAGAAATATCTTTTGTATGGATGTATTCAGCTCTGAAAATATGGCAGGACCTCGTCATGGACAAATGAACGTAACCAATGCTACATCTCTGTGTGCAAATAATTTGCATGAACAGTTTGGAAAATGAAAGGAGGCTGGACTACATTAGGGAGAACAAGTGCAAAGAGGGGAAACAGAAACAATGTTTAGTTTCATATATTGGAGGAGACACACAGGCAAATTCAAGAATCCTGTCACCTCAGCAGAACACCACATCACCTTCTCCTCTAAGCTGCCATAATGAGACTGAACCCCCAAAACAGGCTACTAAAACTGTTGGTGAACTGACATGCAGCATGAGAGGAGGGCAGGGAACATGCGGGTTTGGAGAAAGGATCAACTTGCTCTGTACAGAGAGTTTGCCTGTAGTACAGGTTTTTTCCTCCTTTCTGATCTTTCTTCCACTTGTATAAAATGTAAGATCAGAAATGGACAGAATTATTCAACCTATTTCTGAATAAATGATTTCCAAAAGAGTTCTCTTTGCATTATTAAGTTCCTTGCAAAACCCTGAACAAACATTCTTGCAGAAAATGGCAGGGGGAAAAAAAGAAAACTGAAGAAGTTGTTCCAGACAGCAGGGCTGGCCCTTTTCTTGCTCTTTTAGGGCAATTAGAAGTAAAGCTGACCTGGGCAAAAATTTTAATCAGCACTTTAGATTTTTTGAACACAGAAAAACTGAATCATTCTGTGAGACCTTCATTTCAGCAACTCTGGCTTGGGCTCTTGGTCTTTGGCTTTCTTCCATCAAAGTACCTGATAGACATTATCAAGAGATGTCACTGATTTTTACTGCTTCTTTCCCCTCCCCAGACCACAGCTCTCCTGGTTCTCGGGCATTTCATGCCCTGAGCTTTGTTGGCCTACTTGTTTGGGCAAAGCCATTGCTCTGTGAGGTGTTTGCTGGAAGTCTTGGTTCAGCTGAAATGAATGGCAGAGGCCAGTGAAACTACATTAGCTGGGGATTCAACATCCAGTTTAAAAGCAAATACTAAGTGGAAATGTCTTAATCCCCCACTGTAACGATGAGCAGACCCACCCTGCCTTCACCTGCAGCCTGCTTTTTAAAATTAGCCCAAACGTGAGTGAGGAGAGTAAACATTGCTGGAATATGCATTTCCACTGAGGTTAAATGTATTTGTGTGCAGCTTTCTAAAATTAAACTTTGACAGTGGCAAACAGGGATTTGGGTGTGGAAATGCAATTAGCTGTGACTCAGGACTCTGGATGTACAGGTGGGCAGCGAGTTGTGAGCTCTCTCATGGAAACTTGACAAAGTAGCAAGAACAACTTACTGTGTGTTAATATGAGCAGAGTAAATAACACAAAATGTTATTAGTGTTTGGCATTCATTTCCAAGTGGCTCCTTTGGGTGATGTAGACAGAAGTGCACCTGGCAGGTGATGGTAGGTGATGTTTTTCATGTGGAGTAGTCATTGTCTTCCTGTTAGTAACATTTGTTCTCTTTTCTTGAGAGTTCTGAGATCCTGAAAGAAAGACATTATAAGAACTCTGATGTATTATTTTTATAGAATGGTCTCCCAGACTTCCTCTGGTGTCAATAAGCATCACCCATCACCTGGGCCAGGAATTAGTTTTTCCATCTTAAAGATTAATTCATGGAGATCCTAAAAGGCTTGGCTAAGGCTTTCAAAGAAATATCAAGGCTTTCCAATTACCCCTCTCAGTGGTTTGCATCAGCTGATACTCTGCCTTCCTAAATGTGCTGTACAACATTTTCTCCCTTCATACAATAATTACTTAGAGAATGTCCTAGAGATAAAATAGAGTGGTCCTGTGCCAGTTCATAGGTGCATGGCAGAGACTGTGTCCTTTTTTTCATGACTATCAAGCATTGCAGGGTAAGTTTGGCACTCAAGGATGACAACATAGTGGACATTGTAGGTAAATGAACATGGAAGGAGGGGCAGCATTCTGTTGGCTTATTAAATTACTTTTAAAATTATTTAACTTTTAATTAGAAGGAGATTGAGAGATTTCTAAAGTCTTTGTGGGGTTTTTTCCCCCCTCTGTCAGCCAGATTTTATGCTCCCACTTTTAAAATGTCATTTGTTTGAATTAAACTTGGTCCTTCTGATTCTCTCTTTCTCTCATATCTGAGTCTTTGGAGGATGGAGATAGAGCCACGACTGTCTTCTGTGCTAGTGACTGTATCTTCTGATTCAGAGCTCCTGTATTCCAAAGCCAATAATGATTCACTCTCACAGCAGTGGTGTGAGCAGTCTCAGCTTTTATATGCCATCTGTGTGAGTGAGCTGAATCTGCAGAAACGGGACCCTGTGCACATGGCTTTTCCTCTGTTCATGGATGAAAATATTAAAGCAAATCCGTATGGTCCATGAGATGTTTTCTGTGTCAGGAAGGGAGTAAAACTGCCTGTCAAACCAAGCTGTTCTCCCTGATGAAAGGGGACTGTTTTTAAACACTCCTTTCCATAGTATTTTGCACGCCAGCCATGTGTGCTTTCTCATCTGACATCTCATTGAGATCCTTGGCTTCGGTTCTGCAGGAGGGAAGTGTGTTCTGGAAGGGAAGGAAATTATCTTTCAATATATACACAGGCACGTGTGCACACACATGGTCTTGAATCAATCTTAAATGAATTGAATTTTTTTTTTTAGGAATACGAAAGAAAATTAATCTGGTTGAGCCAGACTTAATTGCTTCCCTTTTGTTTGGATTTTCTATTTTCTCTTGAAGATATTAGGAAGCAATGCTCTGAGCTATTATTAGATACAAAGGTAGAGACAGAGGGCAAAGGGTTCATTTACAATTCCTGCAGCAGTGCACTGAATTTTAAGGCTAAAAGGCAAGTTGATGAGCATCTTGAAAATAAGAATTCATCCACTAAGTATGAGTGGAGTGTACTCCATGGAGTATTTCTGAAGGTTCAGGCTAGTCTGGGGAGCTAACCCTTTTTGCAGCTACCCACTGGCTGGAGGAACCAGAAAAAAAAAAAGTGGTCTTGTTTTTTTCTTTTTTAGTTAAGGAAAGGACTCACCTTGCAGGGAGAAGCTTGAAAACATGAACTAATATAAAGTAATGAATTGATATAAACACATTTCTTTTGAAGTAAGCAACTGGACTTCAGTTCTCTGTCAGGAGACTGGGAAGCTTTAAGGTTATCCACAGGCACACATCCTGTGTTTTGAAAAATTCAAGTCAGTTAATCCCAGGTAATGGGATACCATTATAACCACTACCTCACCTCCATGATCTTGGGGTAATACTGCAAGGAGCAATTTGATCATGTTGGGCAGGAGGGCCCACAGCATTAGAGTGTGCTGTTGCAAAAGAAATCCAACGCCAAAAAGGTTTTCTAGCCCTTTCCTAAAATGCAGTGGTGATTGTAACTTCCTTTCAATCAGAGAACGGTTGAGATTGGCAGGGATCTCTGGAGATCATCTGGTCCTAATCCCTGTCCAGGCTGAGCCACCTAAAGCCACTTGCCATGGACCATGTCCAGATGGTTTTTGAGTATCTCCAAGTATGGAGACTCCATAACCTCCCTGGGCAATCTGTGTCAGCACTTGGTCACCTTCAGTGTAAAAAAAGTGTTTCCTGATGTTCAAAGGGAAGCTCCTGGGTTTCGGTTTGTGCCCATTGCTTCTGGTGCTGTCACTGGGCACCACTGAAAAGAGCCTGGCTGTGTCCTCTTTGCACCCCCCAGGTGTTCACAGACATTGTTGTGATCCCCTGGAGTCTTCTCTTCTCCAGGCTGAACATTCCCAACCTGTCCTCATAGGAGAGATGCTCCTGTCCCTTAATCCTCTTCATGAGCCTACATTGTAGTCTCTGCAGTATGTCCATGTCTCTCTTGTACTGAGGAGCCCAGAACTGGACACAGGCACTCCACATGTGGCCCCAGCAGTGCTCTCATTGTCCAAAACTGAGCTCCTGTGGAAAGGAAGGGTTTGGAATGGGGGCTGTTCCAACTGAGATGCAGACATGGGTTTTGGATAGCTCCAGTTTGAGCACCGTAGGGATTTTTGGGGCTCGCTCTGCCAAGCCTCTTGTATCTGGGACTTGCTGCTGCATTTGGGCAGCTTTGGTCAAGGAGGGATTTTTTTCTGGGTAGCTCAGCTTTGCTGACCTGACCTGTGGAATAAATGTTCTTTTCTGAACTTGTTTCTTCTTTCACATTAGCTTTTTTTTTTTTCTCTCTCCCAGTGGCTATGCTGAGCCTTGTTCAGTTTTGCCAGGCTAAAGGGCATCACAAGAACATGCATCATTTTGTACTTTTTTGTCTAAGGCAACAAAACAAAAATAAGTTTAAAAAAAATCGTTTTGTTGTAATTTTTTTTTTCCCTTTGAAAGCTCCTGAAGCATAAAAATAGTGTCTTTCCTTGAAGAGAAGATATTACTAATGTAAATCCGATGCTGTTGGCAAAGGAATAATATGATGTATGTCATAAGGCAAGGGACTGAGGAGGAGCTGGAGTGATGGAAATGCCTCACGGGCATATGAGATTGTGGGGATAGGTATTCACACAGAGGATGCTTTCTTACATGTCCCAGGGCTTTCTCTTATCTCTGAACATGAACCTGTAGTGAAATAGAAATGTTCCTGTATTAATAGTGCTTTGGAGATAACCCTCATCTGAAAAAACACAGTAATACTGCACAACTGGGAACCCTTTCAGAGCAGGGAATTGGACTAAGAATTTCCTAGTGTGTTGGTAATGAAACATTTTGGTTCTGTATAAGCAAATGGGCAAGGTTAGTGGACACATTACTCTGGTTGTCATTGTCCCAGCAGTAACCAATTTAGAGGCTTTATATTTTCTGCTATCCCAGAAAGGGAAAGAAAAGTAGAGAGTTAAAAATAGAAATCCCAGAAGGAATTAAAGTGCAAAGAGTGAACAAACTCGTAGTATTGCTGTATAATTTTGAAATTCTTTTTTTTCCCTTATAATCTGGATTTTAATATATGTATTACATTGCAAATTCTGGCAGTGGCTGTCCTGCTCCAAAAGGTCACCTCCATACAGGAGGATTTATTCTGGCTGTAACATGTGAACGTGGGCACCCAGCACTGGATCTATCTAGCTACTGTTTGTATTGATGATTTCTGTTTGTATTTCCCTTCACCTGATGCTGTGGATTTCCTGGAGAAGCATGAGAAATTGTCTGTGGCTTTGACCTTCAAGGGAGCAGGTTAAAAAGATATCTTCTGGTGCCTGTGTATAGATCATGACTGGGTTATTTTTTCTTTTTTTCATAGCTCTTTCAACAGCTGTGGACAGATATCAGACCTTCATGAAGTGTTTTATTCAAGTAGGTCCCCTGTAGCACTGCCCTACACAGGACAAGGGTGGTTCATTTCCTTTCTCAAAGTTAAGTGACCTGCACTCTCAGTTTCATCAAGGTCACTTTTCCTCTCTGAGTTTTCCATCAAGATTAGCACAGTTTCTAAAGCAGGTGTCCGGCCTGATGTGGAATTGCCTCCTTGCTTTGCAGATATCCTTGTTGACGGCCAGCTCTGTGACTGTGATGTCGTGGTGAACTGCCAGGTGGGCGACCCCGTCCCGCTGCAGGTGAAGTTGACCAACTGGAGCAAACACAGCGTGGGGCCCTTCGCCCTCACCGTGATGCCCTACCAGGATTACCAGAACGGGGTGCACAACTATGACCTGCAAGATGCCATCACCTTTGTGGGGTCCAACACCTTCTACATCGACTCAGTAAGTTGTTTCATCAGGAAAATCAGGAGTCTGGATGATTGGCATTTGCAGACAGGGCTTCCTTATTTGATTGTGCATTTTAAGTCAAATTAATTTTTGGAAAGCACCATGATTATGGCATCTATTGCTGGGTTGGGGGATACAGAATCATCTCTCTGAAATGGTTTAAGACTGTAATTTCCTACCATGAAAACCACTAGTAAATTATCAGAGTCAGTAGCCTTTGGTCACTCCGGGTCGGACTAAATGTGAGCAGGTAACATGGATTGAATGGTCAATACCATTCTGCCAGTCCCTTGAGTCATCCAGTGCAGCCTGCAGTAATAGATTTTAAATAACTTTTCTTTTTCTCTTTAGTCCATAAGAAATATTCCCCAGGCTGAGCCGAGGAGCTCAGCAAATCAGTTTTAGTCAGGTCCTGAGGAAACGCAACAGACTGTAAAAAGAAAATGCTAAACATTAATGACCAGTCTGATGAGCTGGTTCATTTCCTTGGTGCTTAGCATACTGTTACAAAACTATAAAGAAATGCTTAAAATGAGGCAAAAAAGCCCCTTTTAAAAACAATTTAGATTATGATTTTTCTCTCCATTTCTTTAGAAAGTTCAAGTCTGGGAACTTTTTGCTTCTGAGGCAAGACACTGAAAATACAGATAAAACTACTCTCTCCCACATCTTTTTCCCCCAAAAATGCAACAACAAAATACCAGGAATGAAAACTTACAGATAATGCTGTCGAGTGGAATAAACAGCATTTTGGGTAACTTATGAAACAAACATGAAGAAGGGGATGAGCATTTGGGATAGTGCTTAGGACCTTTGCTTAGGTCAGCTTTTTGGATCAATAATAAAATGTACCTGTCAAAACTGAATATACAAGTGAACCTTAGTAAGAAAGAAATTAAAGGTTAAACACAGGGATAGTCACCATGCACATTTTTCAATTACCCATCACAGAAGAAAATAGTTCTAAAAGCTAATGAGCATGAAATACACCATCAGCTTGAATTTTAATGGGGGCTAACGGTATTCTTATAGCTGAATAATTTAAGTATGTCAACAGAAATCATCCAGAGATGGCTTTCTTTGACTCTCTCCTGACAATGTGGAGCTTTTAATCAGACTGGTAGTGTTTGGATGCCTGGCTGCCGAAGGGCCTGACCCTCCAGGCTAATGAGGGAATAGGGAGATGTCAGTGTGATGTATTCTTACCTTCTGATTGAGTCTCCTGCGAGGCAAAAAGTCAGGAGGTTACATTTCTTGTGCCTGCCCAGGCAGCCTTCTCATACGTTACGGTCTCTGCTTTTGCCCCATTGTTCAGGATTGTGACATTTCTCCTGTAAACACAGTCCCCAAGAAGTTAAAAATAGAATTGTTTTCTGCTATTTGTCCTCCTTTCCATCCAAAAAGGTGAAATGAAGAAAATATTGACTCTTAGACAAGAAGTGTTATCTTTCACAGTGTGTGGTGTTGATACTATACAGACTCCCAGAGAAAATGCTTGGTCATGTTTTGTCGAGGCATAGAGCCCTCATCATGGAAGAAAATTCTTCAGTGTATCTAATGGTGTCAGAGGCCATTTCTTCCATAATGATAACTAATTTAGTAATGGAAAATAGATTTCAGAAAGGTTCACCTGTTTTGGGGACAAGAAGTCCTGGTTTGTGCATTTGATGGTTCAGGGAAGAACGACCACACACAGAACTGTGTTGATGCTCTGAGTTTGGTCAAAAGTCAGACAGACCCGGTCAAAAACCAAAGAAGCTCATGACTGGGTGAGATGAAAGAGATTCAGAGTTTCTCTTTTTTATAAATGAAAGTTGAGGCACTGGACCAGATTCCCTGCAGGTCTTCAACTCTGTGCTGCTCTGTTGAAGCCATTAAAAATGGCCCCATTATTTTTTTAACCTCAGGTCATTGGCACTCGATTATTTTCCTTGTTTAATGGAGGTGTCTTGAGACACTGCCCTTTCCCAGCTGCTTGTGAAAGATGCTGCCCTCTTCCCCAGCAGACCCACCGGGAGAGATGATGTGAGCACTTGTTTTTTGTGCAAAGTTGTCCAGTTTAGCAAAACTGACGTTCGTCAGCACTTTAAGCTAATTGGGCTGACTTCACACTGACACTGGCACAGAGGTGCTGACATGATTTATTGCAGAGCTGAGCTGGGTGGGAGAAAGGATGGAGAACTAGAGTATGGTTTGGTGTATCACTGGTGTGTGGTCAAGAATGAGTGGGAGCATCAAGTATTACAGCAATAAAAGATACTTCCCACACCCTGAAAAATTTGTTTTGTTGTCATGCTGATGCAGAAACTGCATTATTGGTATTCAATTAAATGTGATTTCTCTGGGGGAAAAGCAAACAAAACCCCAAACTGTCCTGCTTTCCTAAATGTTAGTTTCATATTGAGTCTCATGCTCAAAAACTCACAGTTATTTTTGATTCTGGACTAAAAAGTTTCAAAGCAGTTTCAGCTGCTATCTGGAAGACAGGGCATACATACAGGAATTTTCAGAATGCACATGCTGCTTTGCAGTATGAATATAAATCGTTGAAAGGGCAAAAATCACACGATTTCGTATTTCTCTTTCTTGTGGCTTGAAGTCCAGGTGAGACGATTTATCTTGGAGGTAATGTAATGACGCTCATTCACCTTTTTGTGCTTTTCCTTCAGTTCAATGCAGCAGCCCGGGTCTGTGTCACAAAGACTCTGCTGGGACATGCTACTTCAAAAAGCAAAGTCTTTTATTGAAAATTTTAAAGGATATTGAACTATTTCCATGCATTTCAAATTAAGTAGAATCTGTATTTTTAAGCACAACTTCTAATTTGGTTCACCTTACTTTTCTATGTCTCTGTTTAACTGAAAAAGTGACTTTCTCCGTTATTATTTAGATAGTTGACATTTTTGTTCAGTGGGGAGGGGGTTTGAATCACAAGATGGCATGGTGGCATCCACTCATTAAAATACAGTGCATTGATTTAATTTTTTTATCTCACTTCACAACATGAAGTTTATCTTAAGCCATATTATTAAAATTTTTAGTTCTTATCAATTTTTTTTAATTAATTAGTTAATCAGACATAGTTGCTTCTTTCCAAATCAAAACCAAAAATATTATCTTCTATGGAGATTCCTTTAGCTCCCAGCAATACGTCCTCCCCTGTTCCTTCTGGTGCCATCACTATTCTCAAGCAGGCTTTTTTTCCTGCGTGTGTTATCACGCACGAGATCAAGTGGTTGGTAGTGGGAGATGAGGAGAAATTCATTAGTAGATGGTCATTTTGAATAAGCTCAGAAGCCATGATGAACATTTGCTCACTTCTGGCAGGTCCTCTGTGGCCCATCTGGAACAAATTAGTTTTCTTGGCACTGTTTTACTCGCACTGTAAACTCTTTGGGGCAGCGAACAGGAGCTGGCACTAGCCCTAATCTCCAACTGAGCTCCCTAAGTATTACAGCAGTATAAATAAGTAGTAATTAGTTCTAAGCAATCTCAGTCCCACATGGTAGCCTAAATCAGGGAAGGATTAGGATAGATCTAGAAACTTATTTTTTCTTCCATCTTGGTGAACAAAGGAGTAATGTGGACATTTTTTTCTTGATTCTTTGGCCTTTTTTTTTTTTTTTTTTTTTTTTTTTTCCTGGGGTAGAAGCTTCCCATCTTTGGTTTCCACAATTTGATGGAATTTTAGTAACGTCTGTTTGAGCTCTGACTCAGCTCAGGGAGCATGTATTCAACAGCATCCCAGGTTGGCACAGCAAGTAACGACAAATCTAGGTGGTGACACTGAGAAAGCTGTGTGCTGCTAGATCGAATGACAGTACAAATTTGGACTAGGTCAGGCACAAATATGTGATCTTCATGTTTCTCATAGGTTAGCTGGATCTTGCACTGCAATCAGTGGGCTGGTGTGTCCTGTCAGCTATGGCAGTGAACATCTGACACTTCAGATGTGAACACATCTGAACGAGGCACCCTGAGCTCCCTTCACAGGCATGGGGGAGCCATACAGTTTAGGAAATATTTTACCTCGTTCTGCATTTGGTGAGGTGAATCCTTGTGTTGAACAGCTGGCTCAGATGTGGACACCCACTTTACAGACATTTGGGTGGATTCAGTTCCAGACAGGGACACCTGAGTGAGTAGGTGTTGCCATGGAGGCTGGCCCACTGGCCCCATTAGTTAATGGAGATGTGGTCTGCAGCAGATAGAACCTGGCTTGTAAACACCAGGAGTGAGATTATGTTGCCTAAAAGTAGATGTCTACTGTCATCTAGGTTCTGTCATCTGGGGTGAGTATCCTACAGACCTCCACATGCTGCCAGGAATCCTGTAACACATCCTGTAAATCTTCCCAGATGTTTCAGTCCCTTAGGCCATCCCAAATGTCACGAGGTACCTGTGTTTAGGCAGCTGTATCCTGACTATCTAGGCTTCCTAGGCAACCCGTTCTGTGTTTGCTCCACTGTTAGCATTGATTAGATATTTTCTTTCTTTAGTAGAAGCTTGGATACCTGGTGTGCAGAGAGACACCTAAATGTAGGTGGTTTAACCTCAAAATTAGTCCTGTGCTTGGTGTACCATTTGGGCTGGATGTGACCCTCTACTGACCTGACTGCTGCTGGTGTACTTCTGCTCTTTTGGGAATGTTTGTAGGCAGCCCTACTGGAGATGTAACCTTACTTTCCAAAGTTGGTTCCTATTTTGGAAGAAACGTCTTGTCTGCATCTCAACAGTGCGAAGGTTTGAAGCTACTTTTGCTTCCCTATTTCTCCAAACCACAAGTGTTGATTACAGTAGTGGTGGTACAAGTGGCCAAGCAGATGTGGATAGAGCCCAAACCATGAACATTGATGTCTGGTGTTGGTGCTGATGTGCCTGAAGCCACATTTCCTGCTTGTCAAGGGCTCTGATCAGTGCTGTTACAGATATTCCTTCATGGTGCAGGTAGATTAGGAAAAATGGGCTGGGAGCTTGAAAGAGGTGCCGGTCCTGAGGAGGCTTTATTTGCTGTTTGCCTCCACCCTTTTCTGGCTTTAGTGCCTGCCTCTGTCCTGCTCTGGATGCAAGTTCACATCAGTTCCAGTCAGGCAGAAAACAGGCAGGCAGCCCTGGGAGAAGGGGAAGGAAGCGAGAAGGGAGACGGCTTGATGTTGTTCTGCGTGTCCAGACACAGTGCCAGAGGGCAAGAACTTGTACCCATCGAGGAGGGGAGATGCCAAGGACAGGGGCAGGAGAACAGCTGTGGCTGCTCTGATCGTTCACGTGGATGAGACAATGCTGATACAAGTTTGCCTTAGGTCAGCACCAAAACCAAAGGGAACCTGGACTCTCCAGCTCTGAGGATGTGGCTGCTTGTGAACAGCCAGACCCTTTTTCAGGAGCAGCAATTTAGAATCATAGAATCATGGAAAGGCTTGGGTTGGAAGGGACCTTAAAGATCATCCAGTTCCAATCCCCTGCCGTGGGCAGGGCCTTTTTCCACTAGACCAGGTTGCTCAAAACCCCATCCAACCTGGCATTGAACACTTCCAGGAATGGGGCATCCACAACTTCTCTGAACAGCCTGTGCCAGTGCTTCATCACCCTCACAGTAAAGATTTTTTTCTGCATATCTAACCTTAACTTCCCCTCTTTCACTATTTGATCCCCATGCTCCCTACAGTTCCTGCTGAAGAGTCTCCAGCTTCCTTGTAAGCCCCATTCAGATACTGGAATGCTGCTGTGAGGTCTCCACGCAACCTTTTCTTCTCCAAACTGAACAGCCCCAACTTTCTCAGCCTACTTATCATCTTTGCTTTGGTCTTCCTATGCAATGGCAAGTTGCCCTTCAGCAAAGGGAGTCCACAGGCACTTTCCCAGTTAATACCCTATGGTTGATGTCCCAATTTACCAGATGACTAAGTTTTTTATGGCAGACAACAGTCCTGATAACCTTGGAGCCTTGGTCTAATCCCCTCACTCTTGAAGGTGGTGATGTCCCTTCAGTTCCTAGGGATGCCTCTGGCGAAGGGGACATCACTCCCTCCTGAACCCAACCAAATCCAGCACATTTGGACAGCTCTGTGCTACTGCATCCAACACCAGAGTTTCTGTTGTGGTTGGGCTTGGCTGTCTGCTTGTCTGACCAGTGGTATGTCCTGCTGTCAGTTTGGAATCAACGCTGGACTCTGTAATGTGATGGACCCTGAGGTGTTTGGGGATGACCAAAGAAAGGTCCATTGCCACTGGGTGTTCAAGTGAAAAGAAAACACATGGGCACAGCTCTACCTGTGAAAGGAGGGATGACTCCATGAGTGTATCTTAGGTTGATGTTTTCAGAGTCCAGAGA